GACATATAAGAGCAAATAAATTCCACAACACATACTGAAGAGAATTCCACATTGAATTCCACAGGTATTGTCTTTTTAAAAGTCTTGAATTAACTATGGATTATAAATGGCTAATGTGAACCAATGCTCTCAAAACAGAAAAAAAAAAAATTATTTGAAAAAGTTAAAAAATGTGATTTGTTTACAAGAAACATGTTTTAGGAAAAAAGATACAAAATATTTAAGTCACAAAAAACTTGGGAAATAATTTTTCCTTCTTTTGTATTTTTCTTCAACTTTTTTTTCTTTTTTGCACATTTTTTGCTATCTCTTTTTTGTTCTGTTATAATAGCTTGTATTAGCTTTTAATTTTTTTAAAAAGTTTTAATAAAAATCTTATACACACACACACACAGTATATACAAGAATCTTGTGAAAGTGAATGTGTTGATTTTTTTTAATAATTGCAAACCATATCCCTAGATTGTCTTGATTATTCTACCAAAGAATGGAAAAGTAGACAGTGTGATATCATTTTTAAAAGAAAGAACCCAAGATAATCTAGAAAATTGAAGGCAGGCTGAGGTCCTAGGTATATGTTGTAAAAAATATTAAAAATAAAATTACAAGTATTGGGGAGACATCTCTTGCTGCAGACAATCAACATAGCTTTTTTTTCCTAACAAAAATAGGTATATCTTTTGCTGACCTTTAAAAATATTTTAATTCCTTCAGCACACATGTCTAATAATACAGCATATTGGATTTAGACTTTTCAAAAAAAAAATTGATAAGGTTACTGAACAAAATAAACAATTCTGGGATAAAACCAGATGTTCCCTAATGAGATATTAACTGGTTAAAAAAACAATAGGAACAAATGAGCAATTACATAAATGGAAAATGGGGACCGTAATGTTCTGCCCTGATATCCTATGTTTTTAATTTGTACAGCAACAATCCAGGTTTAGAGTGAACAGTGAGAAGTTGCTGATAACTTGACACCATTTAAATAAAAGATTTTGTAAAGAACTTCCAAAATATCTTCAAATTGAGGAAAAGGAATATTGAAATAAAAAATTAGACTTAATATGAGTCTAATAAGTCTAAAAAGACTGGTTGAGTCTTTTCTCAGTTGTTTCTACCCATTCAATCCAATCTGGCAGGATGGGCATGCTCTGGGTTCTGTTGACCAGAGAATACCAGCTGAGAAGTTTAGGACAGGAGTGCAATTCAGCAGGTTCTGACAGGTTCTGGAGAACCGGTAATGTAAATTTTGAGTAGTTCAGAGAACCAGCAAATACCACCTCTGGCTGGCTGGTGAGGTGGGAATGGAGATTTTGCAATATCCTTCCTCAGGAGTGGGGAGTGCCACGGCCATAGTGCCTGCCCTATGAAACATCCTGTCTCGAGAGATAAGGATGGCAACAATCCTTTTGGACTTTTGTAAGGCCCTAAAGACCAGGTTATGTGCCCAAGTATGTGAAGGGTCCCATTTCCTGGTTATGTTAACAATCATGGGTTGCAACTTTCTTCTTGGCTGCTGTGTGCATTTTAATTCTTATCATCACCATCATTTAGTCATTGCCTATCCATTGCAGGATGAAGTGTGTGCGTGTGTGTAAACATGAATATATGCATTTCAATTTCCCAAGCTACTTTTGAAAGAAATTGAAGTGACTGGGGAATATTTTTACAACAGAGGAAAACATTATGCATTAGAGCCTTCCTGATTTCAAATGGAAAAATGCTACAATTATGGCAGTTAAAATTGTATGCAGATATAATGCCTTTATATACTCACAAACCCTAGGTATAAGAGAAAGTTTATGGAAAGGTTCATGAGGATATACTCTGTATGATATTCAGTCTTAATTAAATTCAAATCTCTAAAGAGTACTAATCATGTCATTTTGGGTTTGGGATGGTACCAGATGGATTGTAGGAACTTCAATTGTAATATCCTGAAAGAGTTTGAAGGATCATTCTCTCTGTCAGATATGATAGAGGCCATGTGGCAGACAAAGTAAACCAGACAGATGAAGGCTTTTTTCAATCTCTGCTTTTTTGGGGAAATAATTTTCCCTTGCCTTGCCCTTTGAAATCTGTTTCAGCATGTTGGTAAACTCTCCAAAACAGTGCTGGAATGATGTATATTTTTCCCCAATCCTAGATTATTCTCCCAAAGTCCTCCATTCAGATGGCAATCCTGTTGGAACAGAAATACCCTTAAAAGAAGTAAGTATTTATTTCAAATCTGATGACTAAACTAGGATTATTCTATAATTCAGTGAAGGTGGAAATAGTATCTCAATTTGCCTCAAACTATTCATTGAATTAAGATTGGCATTTAGCAGTTTGAGTTTTGGGCCTCTCATACTAATAGTAAAAACTGTGCAGTTTCTTAAGAATATGATGCTTTGAATTCATTAGATTTACCCTCAAATAAGTCTGTTTCACATTGCAACTTTTGCCATTATGCATCACTATTGCACCATTTAGCAAATAAAAAGGGGGGGGAGGGAATCCCAAATAATAATAATACATATAATTATAATACCAATATTGAAAAAATAGTACATCTTTAAATGCTGCATCCTTAAACACATTGGATTATTTCACAAGTGTGAACTGGTTCATTTGCTGACAAAGTAAATGTTTATCCTACAAAAGTTATGGACCTAGTTGCATTGGAGAAATGACGTTGTCTTACCTGAACATCCCTTTTCTGGGCGCTGCGACTACAATCCACCAGTCTTGTCAGCGACTGAGTGAAAAGACTGGTGCATTATGGGAAGGAGGGGCGTGGCCACAGCACGAAGAGATTTTATAGAAAAAATATCACCCAGTCAAAGTCAAGCAATGAGGAAACAACCCAGCTATGGATTGTAGGAGCAGCGCACTGGAAAATAACAAGGATCTGTAGATGGTTATTAATTCTGGCAGGAAGACAGAAAATTACATGAGATATTCTAATGTTGGGCATGTACAATTATAGCAAGCAGATTTATTCTGTAAATCCATTGAAGCTATGTGCATCACTTAATTTCAGGCTTATTGATATCACAAATTAACAGTCCAACTCAGCATATTTTTGAGAATCAGATTTGAGCAAACCTCCCCTCTCCACATTTTTCAGTGAACCTTTTTCCACAAAATTGCTCCATCAATGCTTAATATCTCATGATGTTAGATAGCATGATTTGTGGCCAGTTATGTTTCATCCAATCAATTAGTCACAGTGAAGTAAGCCAACCTAGGCTTTTCAACAGTTCCCAAATGCCTTAATTATACAGATGATTTTTTTAAAAAAGTTCCTAGCATGCTTAGATCAGCAGTTATCTTTTTTCCCCCCCTCATGAGGAACATTTCTATGATGATCCATCTGCTATGGAAGCCTTTCAGATTGGGAAAGATAGTGGGGAATATACCAGAGCAGTCACAGGACCTATCATAGAAATTATAGAAACTGGAGTTAGAAATGGAAGAAACTTAACTAGACTGTAGTTACTAGAGCCTCTATTTTCTATAAAACCTGACGGGCTATAGATTATGATGAAAGCTGTCATATCCTCAGCAGCAAATGGTTCAGTAACCTCATGCCAGCATATTTTTGTGTGCTTTTGACCAAAATTTTTCATGGTGTGACTTTTCATTCATTTTGAAGTTAGTTTAAAGGCATGGTGTGAGAATGTGTATGTGAAGTTCTATGGATCAAAGAATGTTGAGCATCAACTTTTGACAGCTAGCCCCAGAACTAATTGAAAAGAACACACAGTAGTGTGTTCCAGATAAAGGCAACAACTCCTGTTAAAAGTCTGCACTGGTTGATATTGCTAAACCTAGCTGAGTTCTAGGAATATGACATTTCTCGTATACATGAGATAAGGAACCATTTGTAAGCAAGGGAGTTTATATGATCAGAGAGTAAACATTATGCACCTAAAAGGAGGCGGCTCATTCAGCTAGGAAAGACAAGATGTCTACCTTTCTCCAGCCCAGCATAGTTCAGCACACTTCAACAGGTTTCAACTCCAAATTCATTTCATATTAAATACTCCATTTTCCAGAGTCTGAGGGTTCTAATCACAAGTCACTCAGTCTTATCATGATTGACCTTGAAACTGTTTCTCCTTATTCAGATTCAAATAGCCTCAAGACAATGGAATAGGACATGAGCAGCATCATTTGAGTGGCCTGGGAGTTAAGATTACAATTTGGTTTTATCAGCATACTGATTGTATCTAACTCTGGACTCATAGATGATCTTAACCAGCAGTTTTATATACTGTACATGTTAAACCAGTGGTGAAATCCAATTTTTTTTACTACCGGTTCTGCGGGCGTGGCTTGGTGGGCATGGTGTGGCTTTGTGAGCATGGCAGGGGAAGGATACTGCAAAATCTCCATTCCCACCCCACTCCAGGGGAAGGATACTGCAAAATCCCCATTCTCTCCCCACTCCTGGGGGAAGGATATTGCAAAATCTCCATTTCCACCCCACTCTGGGGCCAGCCAGAGGTGGTATTTGCCGGTTCTCTGAACTACTCAAAATTTCCGCTACTGGTTCTCTGAACTGCTCAAAATTTCCGCTACCAGTTCTCTAGAACCTGTCAGAACCTGCTGGATTTCACCCCTGCATTAAACAAAAGAATGCTGAGCCCTTAGGCATCCCACAACAGTCCAAGCTCTGATGATGTTACCTTGTTTGGGTAATGAAACAGCTGCAAGAAAACAATCAAGTTCAGAGGGTACCAAGGACCCCTCACCTCAATTTTCCCCCACTCCTGTCAAGTCAAACTAAAAGTGATCATAGAGGAAGGAGAATTATCACAACACGATATTCCTCCACTCCCGATCTTTTCAGTCAGTCCAGAAAGATACCATGATTTGAAAGCTGATGAGAGATAAATAAGAAACAGGATTTCTTTTCCCCCCTTTTTGGGAATTTTTTTTTTAAATGAATAAAATAAAAAGTTGATCTTTTTTAAAAAAGGATCAGAATGGGTGCACCACCTTACCTTACTTCTTTCAAAGGTCATCAACAAGCACAAGCAATGCTTTCTCAGTAGTGTGCCCCAGTCTGGAGCCCAAACGAAATGGATTGAAATAATTAATTTTGTCCAGGATTCTCTGCAGTTGTCAACCACAACTTTTCAACAACTGTCCAGTGTTGGGTCCAGTGATGTCTTGAGGACTGGATACTATGGGCTGGATGGTGGGACAACTTTCAAACAGTAGTCCCAAGAATCCTGAATCCCTACCTCTCAATGGCCAAAAGAAACAAATAACTAGAACTGTCAAACTAGATGGTGACAGACACATACATCACCAACACACCTATATTTAATCCATCTTATCCTCCAAAGCTTGCTGCACATGCATTTGTTCCTAACCAGAATGATACCAAACTGTCAGTGATGATGTCACAATACAAATTAAGTCATTCATTACTGTTGTCATGAGGTTACACTCAGGACCATAAGGATCAGAGTCTGCATTATGATATAATGCATGATTTCTGCCCTCCTCCCCTGTTCGATGCCTAAGGTTTGCTGATAAACTGCCACTCATCCTATTACAAGGCTGGAGAATGACATCACTTAGAATCATTATTGACTTGAGAAGAACTCTGTAGGACATGGGTGTCAAACTCACGTCGTCATGGCGGCGTCACATGATATATCGGGACATTTTCCCCCTTCACTAAATCGGGTATGGGCATGGCCAGCACGTGATGCATCCGGCCCGTGGGCTGGGAGTTTGGCAGCTCTGCTGTAGGATCTTCTTGCCAATATTACAGTTAAACAGCTCTGGCTTTAGAAACAAATGAATCAGCAAATGTATTCATGGGATCCAGATGGGATGCTTATTGAATATGTGAAGGTTTTTTTTTTTCAAAAATGTGAGGTTGTCTTCCAAGGTTTGACACCTGGGTTGCTGCACTACAGATGTTCTGTAGAATGTGCTTTAAGGAAATATGGGCCTGGATGTGCCTTGCTGCCTTGAACATTTTGAAGAGAAACTTTCTGAACTGAATGTCTTATGTTATGTCTTATGTCAGATGTTCCTACAAGGATTGCAGTCTGTTAGAAGTTCTACAGTTCTATAATTATAAATTCTTATACTCTGTCACTGCAGTTCCCGTATGTGTTCTACAATATGCCTGGTAGAACCTTTTTCAGTGAGGGTACAATCTTCATTTCTTTCTTTTTTTCAGCCTGTTGGCTTGAAGTAAGTTGTTCTATAAATTCTAACTGAGCAAAGTAGTTAAATAAGCAGCTTTGGTGTTACTGATTTTCTTTTGAATTCCTCATTGTGTTGTGTTTTGAAAATGCTAAGAGAACAATTAATATACCTTATGAACCTACCAGAACATATTCATTGTCCAGCATGTCCTGTACAATGTTCCTTAGAACAAGTTTATTATCTTTCCTTACCTATCCAGTATTTTTGTGCCAAAATGTATTTATTTATAATAAAACATCTGTGGTGTCCTCCAAACTACTCAAGATATCTGACCCAATATACAGAACTGTTTCATTCTTTCTTTGGCACTGTTAATAGAAGGATACCATAATACTCTTTATTTGACTCTGTGACTCCAGGGAAGTGGAATTACCTCATTTTCTTTTACACTGTCCCTTGTATAGTGAAATATAAATGTTTGTGATACAAGTCTTGTCGGGAAGAAAACCTGGTTCTCATTTAATTTCATTTTATCCAGACTATAATAATGCAGTCAAATTATACCACTGCTTGTCCTACATATTGGCTTCTGGTAAAAACAAATATGATAAACTTGAACATTTTGGATGTATTTATGTATAAAAAATAGGACATTTTTTTTTAAGTAGATGTATTATACAGGTCTCTTGTTGCTGTGCCAAACTTTATCTGGCTACCTGCTTAACTAATATTTCCCATAATTGTATTTTATAAGAAGAATGCAAAACTATGTGGGATTGGTTTTAGGAATGCTTTTTTTGAGGGATGCTTATCTACCATTACTAATAAGTTCCAAAGTGTCAAAGACACATGATGTAGTAGCTCAGCTGCCAGGATCTACTTAAAAGGCCACACAGATCTTTAAAGGGCACTTTGTTTGAAGCTTTGTTAAAGTGCTTCTTTGGAGTAAGGCTGTAAAGCAAAAAATACTCTATTGATGGCAGTACAATGGCTTTCCTGCTTCCTTTCAAGCTGATAAGAGTGCTTCTCATCCTGGTCCCCATCACATGGAGTTAAATAACTAGCAGTTAGTAGCTGACGTGCCAGACTGGGGAGACCCAAGTTCAAATCTGCTCTCAGCTGCTTCTCTATCCAATCTGCTTCATATAATGATTGAAGGGAGGGGAAACAGTGAGATACCTTTCTTAATACTAATTTTCTCAGTCATATCTCCATTTACTATCACTTCTGGAGTATTATGAAGCACATCCAAAAAAGCAAATGGCATTGATCTTCTTAGATGTGCAGAAAACATTTGATAATGTGAATTGGCAATTTATGCTAGTGCAGCTAGAAAAGATAGAGTTTGGGAAGAGATTTATGAAAATGATTAAGGCGACACACCACAAGCAAACAGCAAAAGTGATAGTAAATGGGGAAACAGTTTTTTTTTTTAATTTGATTTATATGCCGCCCTTCTCCGGAGACTCAGGGCGGCTTACAATGCGCTAAGCAATAGCCTTCATTCTTTTGTATATTTATACAAAGTCAGCTTATTGCCCCCACAACTGAGTCCTCAATTTACCTACCTTAGAAAGGATGGAAGGCTGAGTCAACCTTGAGCCTTGTCGAGATTCGAACCTGCAGTAATTGCAGGCAGCTATTCTTAATAACAGGGTGCTTTAGACCACTGTACTACCAAGGCTCTTGAGTGAGATACAACAAGAGTTTACTTTGAAACATGAAAACATAGCAGCCTGCTTGACACATAATACCTAACACTTATTACTCTAATCTAAAGAAATTCATCTGGGACCTTAAATAAAGGAAATTTCAGGCCTTGCCTGAGCACATCTGGCAGTGGTCACTCCTGAGTTCAGTATAAGAGAGCTCCCAAGTAGACAAGTCTGGGCCAGATGCTTCTCCTTCAGTGAAGCTTTCCCCCATGCTTTCTTATTCATTTGCATAGGAATAGGTCTTCCCTTGGGAAACAGAGATAAGACTTCAAAGTTCAAGGTCTGAATTATATAAGAATTGGGATCACAAGTAAATAGTTGAATTTGTCTGATGATGCTGTTTTCCCATTGACGCTGAGACATAGATGCCTCCTTCCTGATTGCCTTATCTCGAACTTTTTTTTTTAGTTTTGAGAATGATTCTTCTGCTATGTGTATATGGCACTTCTGTCCAGGTACATCAGCTACTCTTATCGAATCATGCCTTAATAATTGGGAGCCAGGAGACATTGTTCTGTGACATAAAGCAGTACTAAGCTTGATGTTACTATTTAAGATTTTGAGATCTGATGGATGTTTGTATTTATTTTATGCCACTCTGTCTCTTTTACTGTAATGTACATTTTCTTAATTTCTCTAAGGTCCTTTTATATGTGAAACATAAACCCACACAAATGTTTTCAAACTGTGGCTTGTTGTTCTACAACAATGATTCATTCATTGACCTTGGTACACACAAACAAAAAAACCTTCCCAAAATATTACATTCAAATTGAATGCAATATGTGCAATCCCAAATGTGCTAGTAATAGGAAACGCAGTGATGATTCTCATCTGGGTTTATGGTATTTGATTTCCATTATGCCATAAAATAAACCCTTAGGATTTCCTATAGTTTAGCATGAAGACTACAGTATAGATTATAAGAAATGCAAAAATAATTATAGTGAAATGAAGAGTGAATATACGTCTCATTTGGAAATTGCAATGCCATTTGTAATCATAATGCCTCCAGCTATCCAGACCTATTTGGCCTAATTAGTTGCATCACAGCCAGTTCATTAGACTTTTCCAGCAGCTGCCTGGATGTGGGTGAGCAAATCTGACCATTTAATATGACAAACTGTTCATTTAACCTCTCCTTCCCTCTAAAATGGATAGTTTGTTCTTCTCAACTCTGCTCAGCAAGATTTTTTTTTTCTTTGATAGTTGGGAGAATTTTATGTGGAGGACTGTATTTAAGAAACGGCTCATGCTATGACTACAGGAAGGGAAACATATTTACAACAAAATGTGGGGGGAGTTCATTCAGGTGCTATTTTGGAATAAACTTTTGTAAACTGCACTTCCGGAAACATTACATATACTGAAATGTAGTTCTGCTTTAGTATTCATCCTTTTATGACTATTGTATGCATTCTCTGAAAAATAAAATGTACTTTTGGGAGCAATGCATTCTAAAATGTGTGTCTTAGCAGCACTTAGCAGTGATCTATGAATATGAAAGCTATGCTAAAAATAAATGAAAAAGCCAGAAAGGAAATAGTGGACTAATGTCTCAAGCATGTGTGAATCCCAGGGTTGGGGTAAATTGTTAGGTATATTCAGGTGGAAGGAGTATATTAAAATTACTAAAATGTATAGGGAGAATATAATTTTCCAAAATATGTTACAGCAGAGTTTCTCAAATTGTGTTCTGTGAATACTGGAGTTCTGTGAGAATCAGATAGGGTTTCATGAGAAGCTAAGGAGAAAAAAAAAATAAACGTACTCGGGGTTGTTAATAGCAATTTTTCTAAAAATAAAAAAAGCAATCATATTCCAGTCATTGAAGAGTGCTTTGTTTAACCTTCCAAGCAATTGTGAACTTCATCTTTTAATCTCTGTACATTGGGAAATTTAATTTTCATTCAAGATGAAAAGTTATTATAAGGATCTCCTAATAAGGATCTCCTATTATAAGGATCTCCTATTAACTAAATGTGGAAATTATCTGTCATATAATTTGACATTCTGGCAAAATATGTTTAGCATAATCCAATGCAGATTAAAATCCTACACTGAAAGGGAGTTGCCAGATGTTCAAAGTGCTTTTAGAAAAGGCCAAGGAACAACAGACAGTATTGCTGATGCACCGGGCAACTGAGAAAGCATAGGGAAGAGAAGGATATGGAGATTGTGTCAATAGATGCTTCATTGACTATAGAAAGGATTTTGATTGTGTTGAGCATATCGAGCTGTCAAATGTATTTGGGGAAAGTGAAATCTAAGGACGTCTTATTCTTCACACAGAAAACTTGTACAAAGGACAGGAAGCCACAACACAATAGGAGCATGGTAAAACAGGCACATGTATTTGCTTTTGCTACTGCAGCAACATATATGAATTGTCTAATTTCTTAGATTTTGATAGGATACTGTCAAAATTGTACTTTCCAATTATGGAAAACTACACTGATCTTATCTTTGGTAGTGGATAGCCATATCTTCAAAACCCGGTGCACCTATACTGATATTATATTGGAAATATGGTAGGAAAGTGCAATGCAAATTCAGATCCAGGAGTTTAGC